TATAATGAAATTGAAATATCTTAAGAATTATCTGAAATTCCATCGCCAAGAGTCCGCCTGGTTATTAAACCGGACAATTGACCAGGGATACAATGAAAATAGAGATTGAAATATGTCCGTCACGCATTAAACTCATTGACCACAATATGTCTGTCTGGTATTTGAGGAATCGACTCCCGATATTTATGAACATCTTGGATCTGGTTTTTAGTAGAATTTTCAGCTTTCAGCGTTTGATCTTGTTAGAGAAATGTCCGGGGGCATACTGAGTATTCGGATAACCGGTAGGGTACAGGTAGGGTGAGGCAAAGATACAAGGTAGAACAAACCAAATCTAGTACACCATTGGTCAGAGGACCCAGATGTAATTAGTCCACTATTGAAAATGTTCATATAGTTGAAAAATGTAACTGTCAACCAGTTGGTTTGTGGCCTCTCGGTTTCCTTGGCTAGCTACTGGTTTATTCGTATTCGTATTCTCCTGGGACGACCACGATCTGGCAAAAAGTGTCCTTCCATTTGATTTTTGTCGAAGCTACTCGATTTTTGGTGAAAATTGTTCTCCAATCGCCTGTCTGAATTTGAAATACAAAATATTTTCACAAGTAGTGCTCAATACATCAAGATTGTAGAACAATATCGAAATATTAAGACTGAATCCGAAACTTGTTATTTTGAGTGATTAATAAGAATTGTCGATAGTCGAGAAAAATTTAATACGTTAAGATTTATCATCTTGTAACAATTTGTAATCCTCCATCTTTCTATGACAAGCGTTAGCGGGCATTATATAGAAATAGCTAATTAGGTACTCTGCTGTTTACTATTATTTAATTTAACTGTATTGAGGTTTCATCTAGATGTTCCGAAGGGAACTCTAATTATGTAGTCTGCTTTTAAGACTTTGCTTTTGGATATGATTTTCCATATAATACTAGCTTTGGAAACCGTTTTTCGCACCACTAACGTCTATCATTAGGAGCTATATTTAAAGGGGCAGTATGCAACATTTTAAACAATAAAAAAAAAAACGTTGTATATAATACGTGAAAAGATTTATACTTCACCAACACATAGTAGCCCCGTCACACTGTACTTCCACCATTTGCTATATAAGTAAAATTGTACTTGGTTGCCGGAAAATTTGAAAACAACGCGAGAAGTCTCTTAAAATATCAAATTCTACATAAGTCGCTATCAATCGACCATATTGCGTCCCCAGGACGCTTTTATAATAAATATATGGGCTTGGTGCACTTGCTTTTGTGGAGATGTTACGACGTTTGTCTAAATATATTCTCTGTTCCGTGCCGATCTCAACAGCGACATAGGCGCCCGCCATCCATGCTCTGAACTAATTTCCGTTACCGTAGGACACCTTTCCGGTGTAACGAGGCTATAAGACCAATCAATGTTTATGTAAACCCTTTAAATAGGTTTTTTTTTATTTCTAATGATAAACGACAAGATATTTTGAATTAAAACTTTCAGATGGTAAGGGGAACATATTTCTAGCTAGATCGTAGGTTTTCAACCACGGGGACATGTCCACAGTCCACAGTTCTTCTTGCTGATACGATCTGCGGACACGTGCAAATACAGGTTGAAAACCAGCATTCTAGATTTGAGTCTATAGTTTTCATTAATGTGAACACTTGTCGAACCTTCTTAAAATACAGTCGCTTTAAGCATCGCTGTAAAATAATTAAAAAAAACTTTAATTGATTAAATTCTTACTAGATAGTTGTTAAACTGGTCCTAGAGTGCTCACTGTATTCTTGTTCTAATGTCTATTTACTTAGTCGTAAGTTCTGCTTACTGCTTATATTCGATTGATCGGTGAATATTTTACATAAATATATACATATTACAATACGCAGAAAAAATAATGATCGGAGGACCTAATTTGTTAAAACTTTAAAAAATTTGAAAGACTTTTGAGAATTTTTACTGTATTAATTTAAAGAGGTGCGACATATTGTAGCGTTGAGAGAAAGCAGACATTGTCTCTGGGGAATAGCAGGAATAAAGAAAGTTCCAGATAAGTCACACTTTTATTCTTTCTGCTTCTAATCAAATAAACCATACCTAACACATTTCATCTTGAGATTGACTTCCTATTAAAGGGATTGTAAAGGAGTTTTATCAAAGGGGTTGTAGAGAGGTTAAGGGCATTGTTAAAAGTTTTTATTAAGGGCAATGTTAAAAGTTTTTATTAAGGCATTTTAGAGAGGTTTTATTAAGGCATTGTAGAGAGGTTTTATTAAAGCGTTGTAGAGAGGTTTTATTAAGGAGATTGATAAAATTTTTCTTTAAGGGATTGTTAAGATATTTTATTAAAGGAATTGTAAAGATGTTTTTTTAAGGGATTGTTATGATATTTCAAAAAAGGGATTGTTAAAGGGTTATAAAAGAGGTTTTATTAATGGGATTGTAAAGAGGTTTTGTTAAATGGAGTGTATAGAGTTTATCTTTTTTTTTATAAAAGAATTGTAAAGAGGTTTTTATTAAAGAAATATTCTCAGTAATGTTCTTATTGATTATTCTTATTTAAGAAAAAACTACTTGACACTCCTCGATTTTATATTGAACTCTTCAACACATGCATACTCTTATTCAATATGAAATTGTATATAATATGTGATTGGTAAAAATCATTTGATAAATAAGGGGTGTTGCCTGTCAAATTATATCCAGCCTTGAATACTACGGAAAAAGCGTGTATCGGATGAGATAGTCAACAGGGTGTTCTACAGGGTGTTCATATTAAAATTTACCTCATTGAATGATTGAACACTGTATGGCGTCGCATGTGCTAAACCAGGCATAGAAAAGTAAGAAGTAAAATCTCATTTCTTTATCGAAATTTCAAACTAACGTCCGCTAAATTATCTTCATCAAGGGAGTGAACTGTGTATAAAAAAGTTAACGATGTGTAGAATACAACAGACAATCAAACGAAGTTGTAATAAACCTATTAATAAATTATTAATAAATAATAAAATGAATGATATATTTAATATGACCAATGGGTATTGTAAATGACTAATGGGAACCCTATATGAAATGATTGGTCGCAACACAATAGTTTTGACATTTCTTTCATAGAAGTATGACCATACTTGTCTGTGTAATATGACAATTTGGCGTCAAAATATTTATTGAAATTGCAAATTTTATTACTAGTAAAGAAAAGGTTAACTCTTTTTGTAAGACTGACTTGTAGTATTTCGTTTCGTTTTTTTTTCAATCATACGACATGTTAGGAATTCAATAAACACAAAACGAAAGAATAACTAAATTTACCTTTTCCATGCGTTTGGCCAATGTTCGGCTGGTAGAAAGAATCCTAGTGAACTTTAAAAGTTGATATCTTTGTGAAACAAGATATTGAACCTACACATTGTTATTTCCAAATATATTTATCAATGCTATCAAATGGATGCCACCATCAATTCTTAAGGGCTGTGTTTTTCTAGTCACAAGATTGTCCTCATTTCCTAGTGCCTTCATTCTGGGTAAGATTGTCATTCTGATAAGGGACAGAACCATAATTAATGGTTTATTGGGAATTGCTAAGTCTCTCGGGATCTTGTCGCGTTGCTGATGGTAATTCATCATTGAACGTTATTGTTAATTTTTCTGAGCATATGGTCTTCTGCTGTCAATTTTGAATGTGACGAGATAAAGGGGGGAAAAGCCAAGTCCATTAGGCCTAGCATCTGGCGGCCTTGTGCTATTTTTAGAACTAGAAAATATCAAAAACAGGTCCATACTTGTTGAGGAAGGTGCAGTTGATTCCTAATTTGGCCCAAAAAGGTCTATTTGGAATGTCCTAGATGGCTTTAGTTCAAAAGTTTTACAGCTTACTTTCCTGTATTTTAACGAAGAGGAACAAATTTAATTAGCAATTTATCTCACCAAATTGCAGTTGTGATAAATTTAGTTGATTTTGATTCACATTTGATTAAAATTCGCTTTGAAATGTTAAAAGTTGCTATTGTAGACTTCAGATCGATCTTACCAATGAAGTTAAGATTATAAAAAGACCGCTGAGAGTATATTTCTAGCTTTGATAGAAAAGTATACATTTACATTTGATTCGAAGATCTTCGTGATAATTTTGATTTTGGCTAATTATAGGAAATGCTGGATCACAAAAAGGGTTATTTAATGCCCTGAAACAGCTCTTAAATTCAATCCTGCTTCAGTCGCAGTTTTGTTTTCAATTTCCAACCGCTAAGGAAACCTAATTTGCACAGCCTGTAGCATACGGAGCCTCGGTTAATTGTCCAATCCTAATTAGTTGATTCATGTCAGCCCCACCGACCTACTTGCCGCGGAGAAACGGATAGAAAAATCACCGCAGCTCCTTGATAGCTTTTAAAGGCTATTAAAACATATAAAATGAATGAAAAAGGATGTGCGCAAATGTTGTTTTCGCTGAGTTTTCAACCTCACCTGTTTATTATTTACTACTAGATGTAGCGTGACTAAGAGGCTCTATTCTATCTTAAAACAAAGCATAAATAATCTTTCTTACACACTTATTAGAAGAAAACAGATTTATTCTAAGAAACCTTTTAATGTATATCTTATTTCCTTAAAGACGTGGCTTTCCTGTTTTTCTAGATTGTAGCAGTGTTTAATGGCTCCCCGTTGAGTCGTCCTTTATATTAAATCGCTTTTTACTTTTCATTAGGATTAGCACAGGCTATCTCTTTGTCTGGTCCAAAGCTGATGTAATCTCAATCAAACAATCAGCATTAGCGAGGGACTTTTACGTTTAATGTTAACAAAGACGAAGCGTGTTCCGATCAAATCGTGTGTGTCTGTTTCTCATCGAATTCATTGCCTCCGTTTTCCACGAATGGAATGGATTGACATGGAAAAGGTGGTTTTGTCTTCGAATAGGATAATAAATCTAGGCCCCGTGCAAATCAAGTTGTGCATGTTAAAGATCCATCGAAAGTTGGAAATCAAAAAAGAGTAGGCCAATGTCATTGTCCTTTACTTTTTCGATAGTGTATTGTCCAGGGACCGAACGACAAAACTCTTATGTCGTAAATAAAATGTCTTCTACGTTGAAAATTTAATACAATGTCTTTTAAGGTTGTAAATACAGTGTCTTTTAAGGTTGTAAATACAATGTCTTTTAAGGTTGTAAATACAATGTCTTTTAACGTTGTAAATACAGTGTCTTTTAACGTCGTAAATACAGTGTCTTTTAAGGTTGTAAATACAGTGTCTTTTAAGGTTGTAAATACAATGTCTTTTAAGGTTGTAAATACAGTGTCTTTTAAGGTTGTAAATACAATGTCTTTTAAGGTTGTAAATACAATGTCTTTTAACGTTGTAAATACAATGTCTTTTAACGTCGTAAATACAGTGTCTTTTAAGGTTGTAAATACAGTGTCTTTTAAGGTTGTAAATACAATGTCTTTTAAGGTTGTAAATACAGTGTCTTTTAAGGTTGTAAATACAATGTCTTTTAAGGTTGTAAATACAATGTCTTTTAACGTTGTAAATACAGTGTCTTTTAAGGTTGTAAATACAGTGTCTTTTAAGGTTGTAAATACAATGTCTTTTAAGGTTGTAAATACAATGTCTTTTAACGTTGTAAATACAATTTTTTTACGTCGTAAATACAATGTCTTTTAACGTTGTAGATACAATGTCTTTTTAGATACAATGTATTTACGTTGTGAATACTATGCCTTTCTCGTTGAACTTACAGTGTAATTTAGAAAATACTATGTCTGTAATGTTTCGAATACTACTACTACTGGACTTTACGTTAATACGATATTGTAAAATTCTCTAACTATGTAAATACAATGTCTTTTAACGAGGTTAATACAATATCTTATAATATATTTTTTTCATTCCAATATAATTTTACGTAAACGATAATATACAGAATTGTTATAACTTTATTATACAACAAGTTTTAGATCTAGACGTAGATTAATATTATAAAAATATGATATAATCCTCTTAGTGCTTATTACCAAATATTATCATATGAACTTACAGTTATCTGTAATTGATTTGTCATGCTCAGTATGGAATTTGTATCGATACCAATTTCAATGATATTTTGTTTGGTGGTCGACAAAAGCCCTTCCGGATAGTATTCCTTCTGCAAACGTACACAGTGGAGTGGTCACTAATTTAGCAGAAATATATGAGACTGTGCATTTTGTAAAAGGGCTCTAATTCCGTCACGCCAACTTTAAACAACAATTATCGAAATTACCAATGAAATGTTATGGCTTTCAAATTATTTGATAATTCTTTAATTAGAAGTAATAAATCTAAATATTGTGTTCAAAATTGGGTAAAAGGCTAATTGAGTGCACTTTTAGAGCTACGTGAAATTCCGTTCCGATGGAATCCACGACCAGGACAAAGGCGCCCATCGCCTGGTTTAAAAGACCCACAAAATAAAGAAAGAATTATTTGATATATATAGAAAAGTAATAAATAAGTGATCAACATCTGACAAAAGCATAGAGCAGAGGTCACTATCTTTTTGATATATATACATGTAAAGAATAAAATTACAGTGTAAAAAAAGTTGTAACCCATAAGTAATTTAACAACAGCTATTGTACGTCTCATTTTTGTACTCCGTTATGGGCCAGCGGAGTCAGAAAACGTCATGCAGGAAAATTTGGCCTGGCCAGGGCAGTGGTATTAGCCCACTCTTTTTTTTATTTACAATTGTCGAGAGATCTCTAATGTGTACAGCCGGTAGCACAAGTGGAATCAGTCTATTGTCCCACCTGAACGACTATGCGTTTTTGCCATGTCAGTTGTTTATTGCATATTCTTACATTTACATTATCATATTCTACTGATTAAAAAAAAAGTGCATCAAGGGACAATCCGTTCTCATTACCTACCATAGTGTATCTGAGCTTAATCATGATGATCACTTCCTAATAATGAATTACTTATGTTCTGTTCTGAGTGACCGCACTCTCAAACGTAACGCTCTTGTGAAAGCTTTGTGGAGTTATTCCGTTTGAAGTTAAAATAACTTAATGAATATCAATCACTGGTTAAAGTTTTTTTGCAACGTTTTGACGTGTTTCTCCTTTTCTCCTTCCGTCCTTGGACACACGATGATAAAAAATCATAGGCAAACTATATATTAATACTTATTATAATATTTATCTTAATTGGTGTTTAACGTCCCACTTTTTTCTTGTGATAAAATAAAACGACATGCAGTGTGCAATGATATAAATTTGCAAGAACAGCTAGGTTTACGATTACCAAATGCTGGAGGAAAATTTAGTACACAGATCCTCGTTTTATAGTCCAATCCGGCGTTTTTCTGATAAATTTGGCAAAATGTTTCGCTGATTTCCCAATCTGCACTAGTTTGCTTCGTGTTCCACTATAGCAGTCATTTGATTACTCTGAAAGCGATTGTCGTTGCATGTGAACAACCAATTTGCACTCATTTGTAAACGTCATTATTAATGAACTTATTTTTCCGATGAATAATAAATGTTATTCTTTGTTCATATTACGTTGTTTAAAGGTCGACAGTGCCGAAGTTTCAAAATACTAATTTTGAAAAATATCTTCTTAAGGCGAAAAATGTCCGAAGATTTATGACTAAATTGTAGCTAAATTATGACACAATTTCAGCTTAATTATGATACAATTTCAGCTTAATTATGACTAAATTGTAGCTAAATTATGACACAATTTCAGCTTAATTATGACTAAATTGTAGCTAAATTATGATACAATTTCAGCTTAATTATGTCTAAATTGTAGCTAAATTATGACACAATTTCAGCTTAATTATGACTAAATTGTAGCTAAATTATGACACAATTTCAGCTTAATTATGACTAAATTGTAGCTAAATTATGATACAATTTCAGCTTAATTATGTCTAAATTGTAGCTAAATTATGACACAATTTCAGCTTAATTATGACTAAATTGTAGCTAAATTATGATACAATTTCAGCTTAATTATGTCTAAATTGTAGCTAAATTATGACACAATTTCAGCTTAATTATGTCTAAATTGTAGCTAAATTATGACACAATTTCAGCTTAATTATGACTGAATTGTAGCTAAATTATGACACAATTTCAGCTTAATTATGACTAAATTGTAGCTAAATTATGACACAATTTCAGCTTAATTATGACTGAATTGTAGCTAAATTATGACACAATTTCCGCTTAATTATGACTAAATTGTAGCTAAATTATGACACAATTTCAGCTTAATTATGACTAAATTGTAGCTAAATTACGACACAATTTCAGCTAAATTATGACTGGATTTGATTTAAATTGTAAATTGTAGCTAACTCATGACTAAATTTTAGCTAAATATTATGACCAGCTTGTACCTATTCGTGTGGGGAGATGCATAGTTCTAATCTCAATCTGTATATTAAAGTCTGGTGACCAATAAGTCATTTTTCTCAGATTTCCAATCGGCCCAGTTAACATTTTTCACAGATAATTCGGGTAAGATCAATGCCCAGTGGTTTGTCCAAAAAACAGCTGGTAGAAAGGTCTTCGTGAACCTAAATAGTTATCTTTGAAAAAAGAAGAGGTTTTTTCTTCCTTTGTCTTGTTAAATACAATAAGACAATATAATGATAGGTGTCATCGTGCAATTCCGTTATTTTGTTATAAATAATGGAAAGAGTTAGATTGATGTTGGAAAAGCAAAGACCTATTATTAGCATTTGACACGAACATCGTCCTTCGGATGATTGCTTCCAAGTTATCAAATATACCTAATTAGGGTTTTTTTTGCAATCCGAACTACAATTTGTCATTATTAGCGAGAACAGGTCCGAGATTACACTATTTGATTGGTTGGAATAACTTCATCTGAACTCAACTGTGTTAATAAACTTGTTAGATTACAATGAAGACGAAAAACATTGAATTCAATTTCTGTTAAATTGAGTTTATAGGGTCAACAGTTTCACGCCCTTCTGTTATGCTCCTGATTTGGGTTAATGGTGATTGATAATGTTGTACAGTGTGCATGTTAACATTGCTATGATTTTGCTTGGCATGCATTTAATCGAAATAAATATGTTTCTACCAGAATAATATTAAACCTTGCTCTAAAAGAAATGTTCGTTTTAATCACCCCTTTTAAAACAACTTCAGATTAATGAAGTAGATACAATAAATAAATATTACATTCTACAAAATCTTCTCATTTTTACTTTTACGAAGTTTTACGTTATGAACATTTGCATTGGTTTTAAGTCATCTGAAATGCAAATTATGAAATTATGTTAAAGTTCAATTTAAAGTTATGACGGTTCTCTATTATATCACACCTATTTTAAAGAGTACTATCAACTTGAAAAACTTGTAAATTAGAAATCTAGTCAAGGGGGATTTCAAAATTGTCTGTGTAAAGAAATTTAATGGTTTTAAGAGATTCCTTTTCTCACCAATATTGTTGAACTGGTGCATCTTGAGGATCAGCTTTATCACCTTACGTCATGGATTCCCAAAGTTAATCATTTTAAAGACTTTCTTGAATTAACACTATTTGTTCACCGTCGGACTAAGGGATTCAAATTCATTTAAAACTATGATGAAAATATTGATTATAGGTAGTGCGAGAAACCTTAGGAAACCCATTGATCTTAAGGCCCCGAGATTCTAAGTCCTAGTGTGCTACAGAGTGTGTACGTTTAATATCCCTTAATTTAAATTGAATTTGAATAATAAAAAAAATATTAGCCCAATCTTCGGTAGAAAAAAGACGTAAAATTCCATTGGTTTTTTTATTTTCAAAGCTGTAGAAAGATATTTTGGTTTTGCTGTGATCCAACTTTTTTTGCCAAAAGCTCAACGAAGAAACAACTTATAAAATTGACATTAGAAAATTGTGTTTTGTAAATTCTGTAAATTCTCACGATCCTTGATTAAAATTCTCGATTTTTCTTGAAACATCATAAATTTTTTAGAATTAATTCACCGGTTTGAGAGAAGAATTGTTGGTTGTCGAACATTGTATCAATTCGTCATCGATTTTTCCCTTTACTGGACTTGTATCGTCTTCAAACGATCGTTGTCACAGTCAATTTCTAAAACAGTCTTTTAAAGAAAAACAATATTTCCAGTTGATGACATTATGGCGAAACACGAGTGCTCTTAGAAAAGCAAACAGAGATATGATACAGTAAATGGCGTTTGTGATGAAAATCTCTTTTTTTTTTATAGAAAGAGTATTTTCATTTTACGTAAACCCTTCTGATAGTAATTTTCAGTTAAAACGTACACTTGAGCACTTAAATTATCAAATTCACTTACGAATCAGACTTCCTCTTTCAACATTATGGTTATTTAAGGGGAATATACACGTATTTTTTGTATTATATGTGGCATCCCAAACATATATTATGTTAATAGTAATCCTAAATAAACATTCATTAATGATCTAAAACAGAAAAAGGCGACTTTCATACCTCCAGCATTTCAAGGTGAATTTTTACACAAAATGATGATATTTTGAATGTAAACATCGCGTAAAAAAAATTCAAAACGTATAAACCTTTTCCAGATCCTTCCAAACTCCTCTTTCATAACTGTGTTATATAATTTTTAATATT